ACTTGTTTCAACAACAACTGGTTCAACACCAGCAACAACAACTGGTTCAACAACAGTAACAACAACTGGTTCAACAGCGGCAACAACAACACCTGTTTCAACGACAACTGGTTCAACACCAGCAACAACAACACCTGCTTCAATAACAACACCTGGATCAACAACTACTGTTTCAACTGCGGCAACGACAACTCAATCTGCGGCAACAACAACAAATGGTTCAACACCAGCAACAACAACTGGTTCAACAACAGTAACAACAACTGGTTTAACTGTGGCAACAACAACACCTGTTTCAACAACAACTGGTTCAACAGCAGCAACAACAGAAAAAACGACGATGACGACGACGACAACAACAACAACAACAACAACAACAACAACAACAACAACAACAACAACAACAACAACAACAACAACAACAACAACAACAACAGCAGCAGCGGTAGTTCGTACACCAGTTGTTGTTCTTGCAGCAGTTTTGGTTAAACCCTTTGTGCCTCAACTCCAAGATAAAACTAGTCCAGAATTTATAGCACTTGCGACAGAAGTGGTAGTAGTGGTGAGTAAAATACTGAGATTCATTTTGAAGTGTTGTTAAGATTCCAGCTGATTTGAATTAATTAATTAATTTCTACTTCTTTGCTCCACACAGTATGAAGTCATCTATAGAGCTCGATATGGTTTGCTTTTCAGCCGTGTTATTGTCATAGCATTCAGGTAAGATTTTTACTTTTGTTCATTTATGACAACACTAATCTTATTAACAGTAATTGCAAATAATTAATGTTAATTTAACATATTTCATTAAGAATTGAGTGTTTTCTTCTTCTTTTTCTTTAGACAAGCTGGGACCAGAACACGAGCATCTGATACTGAAGCAGAAGTGCAGGTTGTGTTTAACAACACAATAACACCTGCACAAATCCCAGAAGCTGAAGCTGTTCAACAAACCTTAGTTGAAGCGGTGTCTAACCCCAACAACACTTTCAACCTCAGTATCAATCCAGCATCTGTCGTAGCAGCCCAAATAAACAGTGAGTAAACAGAAATCACACATGTGATTCCCAAAGGATTTTTTTTTAAACAAAGCAATATAGCTATTCATATTTAATATATCACATTCAATTTGATATAGTTTGATATATAGTCTGTGTAGTTATTTATTTCATCATTCTCAGAGAATGATGAAATAAACATAATTATTTAATGTGCTAAACAGCAGAAAGAGTACTTTAAATTAGATTTACCAATGTATAGAAACAAGAGAGCATCATGAAAAATGACTTTGTTTTTAACTGCTTTTTTCTTCCTCTTTGTTTTCTACACCTGTAACAACTGCAACTGCTGAGCCAGTTTTTACAAAGCTGTTGCGGTTCGCATCGGTTGGAGAGACATTTACAGCTGACTTGCTGATCTCATCATCTCCAGCATTTAAAAATAGATCATCACTGATAGTGACAACAGTAAGTTTTCTCTCTTGAAGTCAAAAAGTGGTTAAATGCATGCATTCACTTTAGCATATGGACTCACAGATCTTTGATTGTTTGTGTTTCTGCAGCTTGAACCGATCTACAATAAAACATTTTCTTCATACAACTCAATGGAAGTGACTGGATTCCGGTAATTTATTTTTTGTTTGATGACTACATATAATACATAATACACAAAGAATTAATGCAAGTAAAACAATATTTGGCTTATTGATTTTGCAGAAATGGATCCATCATCACTGACATCTACATTCAGTTTGCATCTACATCAGCGCCAAACAACACTGACATTGAAAATGTTCTGATCAATGCAGCTCCAAACATAACAGCCTTCAACATTACCAATGTTGTTGTCAGTGACCCAGGTAAGCGCTATTTAATATTATCACATTTTAAATTCATATTATCTCAGAACTGTTTGTTAAAGCAACACTTTGTTTCCTTTTCTTGGCATTTACAGTGGCTTCAACTACAACAACAATGACTACACCTACAAACGCAACCATAGCAAATCTTACAAACACCACACCAGGAACAAATACAACTACAGTGTCTACAACAGCTTCAACTACACCCGTGAATGCTACAACACCAAT